ATATATACACACATACACACACACATATATACACACATACACACACATATACACACATACACACACACATATATACACACATACACACATACACACACACACATATATACACACATACACACACACACGCACACACACACACGTATCTATCTACATCTACATCCATGGGTGTTTTGCCTTCATGGATGTCTGTCCACCTCTGTGTGCTTGGAGGACCAAAGACAACATCAAATGCCCTGGAACTGAAGTTACAGATGGCTGTGAGGCACCACGTGAGCTGGGAATCAGGACCTCTGGAAGAGCAGCCAGTGCTCTTAACCACCAACCTAGCTCTCCAGCCCCCTCAACCAGTTTTTGTGTATGTGTACTGTAATATAGAAGTGATTTAATCTGGGGTTGTGGAATAAAGCAAGTCACTCTACTCTCTGAACTGTTACTTCAGTTAACTGGTTCGCTGAACCAGACAGCCTTCCCCAGGCCCTTGGGCAGTGAGTGTCTATAGCACTGGACTTGTTCTTCCAGAAGCTTCTGTTGAACTGCTTCCGCTCTGTGTCAGCACCGTGTTAGTTGTTAATGACATTCTGAAGAAGAGCCTTAAAGAAAGTGAACTCTTCAGTTACAGGAGCAATGTGATCTTTTTAAAATCCAGAGCTCTCAAGAACAAAACCAACCAGGAAAAAACCCTCAATGTCTCAGTGTTTAAGTAAGAATGGCCTTGAGGCTGGAGGACTGCTCAGTAGGAAAAGGGGTTCTGTGAGTATGAGATCCTGAGGTGGATCACAGTATCTATGGGTTGTGAGCAAGGCTCCACAGCACATACAGACTCCCAGGGCTAGCGAGGCAGAGACAGGTAGGACCTTGGGTCTTGGTGGTCAGCCAGCCCAGCCACATCAGTGAGACTCAGGTTTAAGCAACCAGGTGGAAAGACAAAAAAAAAAAAAAAAAAAAACTAAATCAACCATGTGTGCATACTACGTGCACACACACACACACAGTCTTCATTAAAAGAGAGATGAAGAAACAAGGAAAGCAAGTAGGGGAGTGTTGTATGAGAAAGGAGAGAGCTGTGAAGACGCAGCAATGAGAGCCCAGTTACCAAGGCACTGTTGTCTTTTCCTTTATTTGGTTCAAGCTGGCCTGGAGCTCTCTGTGTAGCCAAGACTGGCCTTAACCGTGGAACCAGACAGCCCTTGTTACATACAAAGGACAGCGGATCCGCTCCACTCCAGGTGCTGCTCAAGCCTCCTAATCAGGTCTAAATTGAACTGCTGTGGATGGAGGGTGTTGTCAAAAGGAGAGGGTTTCACCGACCTGGCTTTTAACAGTTCATAGCAACAGGAGCAAAACACGAAGTTGCTCGTGAATCGGTGTCTGATAAATCCTTGTATGTGCTCCATATTTGAAGGTTATGGGCTGTTCTGTAGATCCATTCATTGTTTAGCTAGCTCTTGTCATTCACCTTGGGAGTATGTTTGTGGTATTCACTTGGAGAGGCAGGGGAATAGCCAGTAATGTAGCACTTCTGTTGTTAGTAGTTACAATTTAACTAGTACAATTGGCTCTTAGAAGAGGTTACTGCTAAATTTCTTTCCACCTAATGAAATAGTCTGTCAGTTACCTACTTCCATGTCACTACAAATTGTTCAGTACACATACTCTGTATTGGCATATGACTATGATGGCAGTGCCTCGGTTTCTCTCTTTGCCAGAGTTCAGACTTGCTCACTACTGATAGGAGTGGAACAGGTAATGGGGGAAGTTTTCCCAGCTTGAGAACGTGTCTTGCAGTTTAGTGGATTAGTGTAGCAGTGTGGGAAGCAGGAGGTGTAGGCCAGCGTCTCCTGACCAGACTGCCCCCTTCTGGGCAATAATGTTGGCATGATCTGAGGCAGCCAGGAGGAAGTTGGGTGATAAAAGGTTTGAGATTCTTAAGTTAAACTGAAGACTTAGTTTGGGCACCAGAAACCTTAACAAGTAATCTCACACCTTGAGCCACAAACTTCCCTTAAAGTATGCTTTACTCCAGCAACAAACACACACACACACACACACACACACACACACACACACACACACACA